GAGGGCGCTGTTTACTAGTTAGAATGATATCGCAGTAATGTGAGGGCGCTGTTTAGGAGTTAGAATGATATCGCAGTAATGTGAGGGCGCTGTTTAAGAGTATATTCTGGTAATGTGAGGGCAGTATTTGTGATTCTGAATCACAGAAATGAAGCACTTTAAAGATGTATGTATTTTGGCATGCAAAAATTACATGTAACTGTTGAGACCCTTTTATTAAGTAAAATAATGCAATGTCTGACTTGTATCTGCAAATTTTCCCCCAAATCTCAAATTTTACAATTATCTGTAAAAATGATAATTGATACAAAAAAAAAACACATTTGTAGTTGTCAGGACATTAAAAAAAAAAACAGCTTCAGAGTTTTCCAAAACCTAAATACAAAATGAGGTCCAATACCTCAGTCACTTTTTCTCAAAATGTCCTGAAGTGAGACACATACATATGTACATGTACATCATTTTACCACAATTGGGTTGTATAGTACTGGCCAGTCTCATTCATGTCATTGAACCCCCCAACTCTCTAAGACACTCCCAGTCTCTCACCCCCTTTCCTTAGTGTATGTGCAAAGAGAGTGAAAGGTGGCTATTTTGAAGTTGTGCATTTAGGCAATACACATCACCCAATGCTTTTTGACCCTTCCAGCTAATTGGCTCTGAAACATGACAAGCCTACTGCATTGTCTCATATTCTATGGTGCTCAGCCAAGCATGAACATGAGCTTCAGTGTACAATAAGTAAAGTCAATGAGGTACATACCTGGCTGAAATTTTCAAAGACAAATTTCTGATCCTTTAATTTTTTTGAGTAGTGTATATTGGAATACAGTACAATGCTGCTATAATGAACAGGGCAGGGTCCATACACAATGCTTGGTGTAGCATACCTCCCCGATGCGATTTCATTGGTACTGTACCAATCATCGCATTTTCATAGGCCTGAAAATCAAAATGCTCTGATTTCCTTAAAAAAAAAAAGAGGGAAAAAGTCCTGGCAAAACAGAGAGGGTGCCATTTGCAGAAAAAACAGAAGGTGGTATTTCCTATGTTGAAATGTCAGTTGTTACACTTACGTGATTGTTCTTGTAAAACAGATTCTCTTGTACGGCTGCTTGTTTTGCTCTGGGCTCATAATATGGCCATTCCAATTTCGGAGTTTATTTACATCTTATCTTTTGAGTCACTGTCATCAGTCCTAAATATTTTTTCTTTAATGTAAAGCAAATTGGTGATGTTCAGTAAAAGTGCACAGAAAATTTGGGAGCCAAGATTCATGTTCCGTATACTGAATTGTTCAGTATAGTAACGTTGTACTGTACTTACATCCAAATTATTCGTGACTTAAGAGGTACTTTGTAAATTGAATAGACAATTAGTCAGTTTGCTTTGAAGACAGACTATTGTTCACCTTTAATTTGTTTCTTTTCATCATAACTTCAAAACTTCAAAAAAATTACCATTTGGAAAGACTCTAGACACTTTGATACTACTTCTTTTGAAGACTAAAAGCTCGTAACTATTGCATGCTTTTAAAAATTGAATGGTGTTCTCATTCAGGCGGCAAAAATACCAGCACTGTTCAGTCTCAACCCAGTGGCTGTTCTGAACCTCACTTTTGATAAGTTTGCCCCCCCCCCGAACAGAGATATTGACAAATGGGAAGAACCACTGACTTACTGCTGGATAGCTCAATTGGTAGAGCACAGAGGTTGCAGGTTCAAATCCTGCTCTAGTCAATTTCTTTGTTCATCTTAAGAAGTTTTTCTTCAGACTAAATTCTTTGTACATTTTGTACTTTCCAAGTTGTACATCCACATCACCAGAGCATTAGAAAAAAAGTCTTTCACTTAAAAGTATCGCAAAACTGCAAGTCGCAAATTGTTGGCTCAGTGCTGAAAGGTCATTACTGCAAAAATGTAATTTTTGGAAACACTCCAAGGGCCTTACTCTGTGCATGAAAGAAATTTTTTTAGTCCTAAAACTACTTTTTTTGCAGCCAACATGTTTAACCAATTCTGTTCCCAAATTAATGTCTAAAACAATATTTTTCACTGAACACCTTTCAGTGTATTCTAAGGACCTTTTAGTACTGACATGAAATTTGTTTCATTTGAAAATATTACCTTGCAAAAATGCTTTGCATGTAAAACAGTCACCATGTATTGCTATAACCAGTTGATTTCTAGTTGAAAATAAAATAATCATTTAATTAAACTAGCCCAACTTGTTTGTACGTGTATATCTATTTGTAAAACTGTAGTACTTTGCCACTTAACCCTTCTCCTAATCTGGACCATGTTACATTGCCAGAGTTTAATGAACATCTGTCTCCATCTTTAGATTTTACATTACAGCTTCATCCTACATGGAAGCCCTACCTGTCTTAAACATCTTCCAAGCTCCTTACATAAAGTTCCCTCTTGAAGCCTTTTAGTCTCAATCTTATATAAGGGCTACAGTAAACCCAACAGCAGTATGGAACATTAAGAAGCTAGGTCCTTCAACCCCATGGGATCCTCAGAGCTCTAGTACTGATAGTCCCAAGCCCTCAGCCATCCACTCTACCCATCCTATCAGCTCTCAGACTTCCAGCCCCTAGGACTTCCACCTTTGCCCATCTCCAGTACACAGTTTGTCTGAAAAATATTCT